ACAGACAGTGAGAGGAGACAGGAAGTGTCTGATTGGCTGTGAATTGTGACACTGCCCCGACAGTTCATTAGATCAGTTGGTGCTGTCTCTGACTCATGTCCCAGGGGAGGGAAGGAAACCCCCTCCCCACTCAGCACTACAGCCAGCCGCCCCCTTGGATAAATTATGTATTTCTTGATATGTGTATGTGTGTGTGTGTGTATGACTGTGCAACTATTCCACTACGGTTTAACCGCTGTCCTTTCTAGTCATCAGTATAGATAATCTCTCCTGGCCTTCTTTTACAGTAAAAATGAGAAATGTGGGGGTGAGACCCCTCAAACACCAGCTTTTGAGTATAAACTAAGTGTTTCAGGTCATTTCGCTTCGGCGAAGGAGTAGCGAGGTCAAATATGCCCACGTATAGCCACAAAAACCTGTCATAAAGTGATGGAAACAAGTCTGAGAAATTAGTGGGAGGGATTAATTTTCTAGTTGTGTTTTAAATGTCTCAGTCTTCATCTTAGGATGAAGACTGAGACAACAACTTCACATGGTTCACATGTGAAGTTGTTAAAGAGCTTACATGATCACATCCTGAGCAAGGCTTTCTTTTCAGTGGCATGAAATGTGAACTGTTATGTGAAATATGAAAAAGTCTAGAACTAGCACTCAATAAAAATTTGTATAGCTTCATGCGTGTTTGAGAAGCTGTGATTCACAAGACCTTTATTTAATCTGAAAAATAAATACTCCTGTTTGGTTTTAGGTAACTGAATAGATATTATATAGAGATTCATTAACAAACTGGCATTTGACCTCACATTAAGCCCGAGAGCATACTTTTAATGTTCTAAAAAGACCATAGAGACATGGAGAAGACAAATAAGAAGAAGAAACAAACCAATTTTTTTTAAAAAAAATTCAGATTTGGCTTCACAGCTTGACTGTGGAAGTGAAAGATTAAGTATTTTACACATCTTTAATTTTTATGCTTATTCCTGCAGACTACTAACAGCTGCCAGACAGTGGTTTTGTCTGCTTTAACCCTCCTTCCTTTTTTCCTTGAAGCGCAGACATTCTGTGTGGAAAGTGCACATGTGGGTTTCCCTCACATGCAATGAAAAAAAAAAAAGCATAAGTGCCATCCCTTGGTTTAAAAAAAAAACTAAAGAATAGGCTTGCACATATTAGTATATGTAACAAGTAGATACTGCAGTCAGTGGCGGTTTATCTAGAAGCAGCGTTAACTGCTGACGTCATTATGAGGACGCAGAAGAAAGAGACTTGAGACAGAAATATGAGGTCATGTTAGTGTATTGTTTGCCTTTTTCACTAATTTATGGGTAAATTCAGGCAAGCAACAAGGATTAGTGCCCAAAAATGTGATTATCTGAAAGCAATACACCTGTCAAAGCTGATATTGATGGATGAAACAAGCAGAAGTTTTTCATTTATTAGTGAGATTTAGAATGCAATCCATTAAAAAATACAATTTATGTAGTGTCAGAATATGTGTTATGTATCAGCAGTAGTAGTAAAGCCTCTAAGTTCGTATAAACCTTCACTAGAACACCTGATCCAGCTTCAAGGATTGTTGATTTGTCATATAAACAAAACAATCAGTAGCACTTCATTATATGGCTCATATAATAATATATGATTCCTCTAGGATTACAGGCAATCTCATTGTGTTTTACCTAAAATTTCATGTAATTATATTTAACTGCAAATGCTTCCAGGAAGTGAAACACTACTTAAAGTTACAGTATAATTATACCCTTCCTGTGAAATACCAGAAGTTACACACTATTACGCTACTACTTACAATATAATTATTTCTTCATACTTATTTTTCTTTAATTATTACTTAATGTATTGACCAGCAAGGATTTGTAGGTAAGTATACATCATAATTTCAGCTAAATAGATTTAAATTACTTTTGATTCCAGGGGAATCGATCCCACCAAACATAGAGTAAAATATTGATTTACCCTCCTCCTTAGCAAGTAGTGTTTAAGAAAGATGAATAATGGTTTGAAAAGCGTTGTAAGAAATCGTTAGCAAAAGACTGCCTTGTCCCTTCTGCAGAGCTGAGTTCCACCCTGATGGAGAAGATGCAGGCCCAGGAGATGATGAGTGGCCTGAGGATACCGGAGATGGACGAGCTCGGTCAGTTCTTCCGCTCCCTGCCGACCTCCACGCTTGTGGGCATCGGCGCTCTGACAGCTGTGCTGGCGTACTGGTTAGCCACCAGACCCCGTCCCATCAAACCCCCCTGCAGCCTTCTGCACCAGTCTGAGGAAGTGCCGGTGAGATATTCACAGATCCATAAAAGCCTTAAGTGTTGCATTCCCAAATGCTTTCAGTAACATAGACATGTTTGGACATTCAGGCACAAGTAGTAGATATTTTTCATGTTAGTCTAGTCCTTCACAGTAAAATGGGGTCAATCAGTACTCTCTGTGGATTTTCTTTTGTTTTGTTTTAATGCACTCATGTAGGTCACCTTCAATTGTTAGCAGCCAGTGACGACACTAGGCTTTATGTCTAACAATAAAGGCTGGTATTTTAGTTTTCTTTGCCCTAGCTTATACCTGTCAGGTTATTCTAAGCATCTGAAGCTCGTTACGACACATGGCCTTCTGATCTCCTCCTCTTCTTTTCTAATAACAGGCAGTAATGGAAACCACAGTAGTACAAATGTAAGCAAAATCAAACATCGAAAGTAGCCTTTCATGACTTGTTACTGTAACAGTTTCCATAATATGCCAAAAACTCTCGCACTGTAGCTTTTAGCAGATGTGTGGTTTTTATTGTTTTGATTGAAACACAGTCCTTCACAAGCATACACTACGCAACTTCCTGTATTTGGGAAATAGAGAGCTAAAAGACAGAGCAACCAACAAATTCTACTTCTACTTGACTTTTAGTTAATACTGAAGCGCTATGGGGAAATTGTGCCCTTAGTTTAAACCCTTTTACTGGTTTAAACTAACCACCATACCAGTGAAACCAAACACTTGGTTTTTCACTCATACTTTGCACCACAGGCCTCCGAATACCAGCCTTACCCAGCAGCATCATGTTGTAGTGTAATGTGAAACCTCGAGAGGCTTGTTTTCTCTTTTTTCATATGCATATACATATATACATATATCTATACGTGACACAAGCCACAGTACAAGCATGTAGTGTACAGTGTGTCTTGAGTCCTGGCTGCCTAATCTGTTCAGTCCTTTCAGGCTAAATGACTCGTTTACAAAGTGGAATTTGCATCTACTATTGTTTTCTTTATGGGAATGAGCTCTAGTCATCCAGAATGTGTCTGCAGTCTAAACACAGAGGAAGCTTAGCAGCTCACATATTTCTATAGGCATTTGTTAGCTGACAAAAGAGATGGATTATCTCTTAGAGGAAAAGTTAGACAAATTTCTTCCTAAACTCCTCCACACTATTTGACAGTGTTTTTACAAGGGAGAAAAATTAGATCTTATACCCTCAGAATTTAGAGGGAAGAAAAAGCCATAGAAATGACTGATGGTGTTGCACTGTTTTCTTTGTCTGTCGCTCTTTCTCTGTGCATCAGCATGAAGATGGGGGTCGCAGGTCTATGATGGGTGACCCCTCCAAGCTGCTGACTCATTACCATGATGACGCCAAGACCATGTATGAGGTTTTCCAGAGAGGACTGCATATATCTGGTGGGTAGGATGTGAAGTGGAAACATTTATACACAAAGCTGGAGAGAGCTGGAGCATGCCAACTTTCCACGTTACTGGACTGGCACTTGCAGATTGGCCTTTACATAAAGGTTTTGTACTCTTAATGACCACTCAAAGTGCTTCAGACTTCAGTGTAGCCTCTGTTCCTCTAGAGTTGCTCAGCTTTTCTCATAAAGAGTCATACCTCTCTTTTTTTTTCATTCATGTTCTCATGTACATTTTATAAACCACAGGTTTAATAACAAGTGATGCAGATGATAGAAGTGGTTAAAACATGTAATCTCACTAAATACCACTTGTAAAACTGACATGTAGCCATATCAGTGTCATTCATCCCTTTCTGTCTGTACTTGTATTTACTAATCCTATACAATTTGTAAAGTGTCTTTCAAATACCCGAAGACTCTTTAAAAAGACTATGAAGAATATGTCCATATACATTTTACAGTGTATAACATAGGCTGTCATAATCTCAGATTTTCACACTGCTCAAAAAGTCTCCCTATTTATGTGTTGTTAGTATTGTGTTACTTTAAACAAAGAAATAATAAAACTAAACACGAGCCGTGACTGTAAAACGTTAATGAAAATTTAAAACCTCAAAGCAGAGCAATGAGCTCTTACAGCTCTCACAATGAAATAGATGTTTTGTTTTGGCACTGTTTTCACATTGATTACAACATAATTTTAAATTATCTAATCTTATTACAATATTAGATTTCCATTTGCCCAATATACAAAACCTGGTTTGGGGTTTTAGCTTTCCAGAGACCCTGATGAAATAAACATCTGTAGCATACTACAGTACAACATAAAGCAGGCTATAAATGTAAGAATGGAAATACAGTTATTTGATCTGAACTCAAACCATTTTTAAGCTGCCAGACTTGCAGTAAAAATTTCCCACACATGCAAACACACAGAGGTGTGATACAGACAGCACGGTGTGACAATGCAGTGGTCTGATTGTAAAACCTCCAATCATAGTGTTTCTCTGCTACTGGGGATAAAATGAATCTTGTGGTTGCCAAGGTGATGGCTAGCGTTGCTAACGGTAACAGTGTCAGGGCTCATGGCCAGCAAGTTTAAGACACATAATTGAGTGACTCACAATGCAGAGATATTGCTCAAACCACACCTGCCCCACACTTGTCAGAGTGGGCTCTTCGATAATTGGCCAGATCGTACAGCCACAAGAAAATGACATCAGTTGGTCTGAAGTAGAAATGAATGGTTTTAGTCAGTTTGTCTAAGGCAGTGATAGTCAAGCAGTCTGTGTATTTCACAACTATTTCAGAGATTAGAGAATTAGATCGATTTTATTTCGAACATGCAAATATAACTGAAATAACAAGAGAAAAAAAGCAAAAAACAAAACTTAAAAATCATCAAGTTTTCATGTATATATCTATGTCTACAGAATGCCTGTGCTCGAAATTATTTCTGCATAAGAAAGGGTTATTTTCACCTTGGTGTGAGCCTGAGGTGTTTAAATTACTATTAGATTTAAAAACCTTAACGATGTGTATGTCCAGTCACATACGTTAATCATTTTTTTGTCTCCTTTCTGCGTCCAACAGGTGATGGACCTTGCTTAGGCTCACGACTCCCCAACCAACCTTACAAATGGATGTCCTATAAGGAGGTTCGTGCCATTCAGGGGACATGTTTTTTTCCCTGTAACAACAACAGCTGGGAGGAGAATAAAACAGGGTGACCCGTCAAAGGGGAAAAGTACCAAATCCTTATGCTACAAAATGCTTCCAGACTTCTGATAAAGCAACATTTACAGGAACTATTTCATACATTATAGCTGCTCAAGCATGATTTTCTGTATCTCACACTTCTGATGCCAAACATAATCGTTACAGTCTTTGTAATGGCAGTTGATTGACTACAGAATAAACTGTGCAGACTAGTCTGTCATGTGCCAGTGTAAGACTACAGTCAGATGACGTTTGCAGCATTTGCACTGCAGAGACTCTGTAGCACCCACTCTGCCTTGAAACCAAATTTGGTACCATCAAGAGCGCTACTAAATAACTGCAGTCTGCAAACCTTGCTATATATAGATAATGACTGGGCTAAACAACACTTCTACTTTATATGTGCTATAGGCAAGTACTGCTTTAAGTCCAAGAATAGATCCCACACTATGACTTACTTTGTCTGATGTTAACTGGCATTTTTCAGATCAGATCACTATCATGTCTGCCACCCTAAGTTGGCTAAGACGTTAAGAGAAAGGACTGATGCTATCCTGCTAGAGCAGACTGACTCTATAACTGCTGTTCACCTTCCATCCTGCAAAATCTGCACAGCACACACGAAAGCTGCAAGCTACTGTGCAGAGGTGCTATTGTTGTTTGTATAAGTTGCTGAATAAGAACATTACTCTTCAACACAGCTAAAGACTTTGTCCCTGGAGGTGAGGTTTCAATTCACATACTTAATGTAGACACACAGAAACAATCTAAAAATACAAGTATGATTATATTCGGAAGACCTGAAATGCAGAGTACATTATTGGCAGGGGTGTAAGGTGTGATTGGCCACCGATGTGAAATAGCTCACCACTTCAAAAGCAGCACGTCCCTTTATTGACTTCTTATACTCTGACTGCTTGCTAACCGGATACACAGCTTTAATATATATATATATATATATATATATGTGTGTGTGTGTATATGAAAAATTAAATAACTAAACTATTTTTGTCCCACTTAGTCATGACAGTAACAAAGAAGAATACGACTGGGATTTGTGTTTTGGGTCTTTGTTTTTTTGCCAGTAAATTTAGATACAAGGTTACCAGTTAATCAGTTTTTATCCTACTCATTAATTTCTTTCATAAACAATAAAAGAAAAATTACATTCCTCTATTTATTCCATGTTTATGTAAGCAGTAGACACGTTTTTCCACAGCCAGTCCTGTATATTATGAAATTTCAGTCTCCCGTCCCACGCGATAGTTCCAAGAGCAGGAGATATAATCACTCATGTCATGACTCAGTGATGACTGTGGACCAAGATAGATTAAGATAGCTATACAAGGGTATGATATTATTTCTTATAAATATAAAATCAACCAACTGACTGGGGGGAAAAGGGAATATATTAACTACAAAGTCTTGGTCACTTGTATTATACTGGCTGATTTCAGCTGGATCTTCAGGGCCATGTATGAGCACTGGTTTGTATATAATAATTACACTTCCACCGCCTTCTGCGCTTCTATGTGTGTGTGTGTGTGTGTGTGTGTGCATGTCTTGGATATGCCAGTGATTGCAGCACAGTTGGCGAGACATGTGGAAATGGTTATTAAAAGCAGAATAACTGAAAACTTCCCATCATCCAGTAGAGCAGTTTCAGGTTCCAACAAATCTGTGAGCACAAGAGACAAACTGACACTCTCTTGGAAAGTCACTGAAGTAATGCTGGTAGCTGGAGGGAATTTTCTGTTAAAAGCGATGTCAAAATCTACAATACACATGAGATATACGACACCCTGTTTATCTGTGACATCATCGTATTTTACAAGAGAAAAATGGGTGGAATTTTTTTTTCTTTTTTTTGTCATTCACTCCAATTTCCAGGAAGTCAGCCAGGCAAATCTGGACTTGTCTTACAGACTCATTGAGAGACTTAAAAAGCACTGTGAAATTTTTTTTTCTAGGATGGAAAATAAGGTTTGCCTTAGACCTTTGCTGAAACATGAAATCAAGTGTGTTATTATGCAAGTTTCCACAGCTGTATTAATCCCCATTTTCTGTGATGTCTTTCACAATCATGGTAATTTGTAGAATGTGAATCATCAATATACACAGCAGAATATTGCTTTAAAATCAAAGTGTGTTTCTAAAATATCTCGAACTAAAGAAAGATGACTAACACAAGGTTGGGTTTCCCTTTTTTTCCAAAATTAGAGGTCAGTTTATTTAGCTAAATTGCACAATACTACCAGAAGCTGAGCAAAGGTTTTTCTTCACTTGCGAGATTAGCTCAGGATTTGTATGGTTTTGTTCCACTTGGTCCAATCAGTTCTCACTTTTTTTTTCTTCAATTGAATAGGTGACAGCCCGGGCAGAGCATCTGGGCTCGGGCCTTCTGCACCAGGGATGCCAGCCCAATCCGAATCAGTTCATAGGGGTGTTCGCTCAGAACAGACCCGAGGTAACTGGCACTCTTTTTGCTCAATCTTTGTCTAATCTGCGTGTAGCCCTAATTTTAAGTATATGAACTTAAAGTTATTCAGGTTTTCAAGTGCAGGAAAAAGTCCGACCTCAGATTGTATTCATTTATTTGTATTTTTGTTCTGTTTGACTGTAGTGGATCATCTCGGAGCTGGCTTGCTACACATATTCGATGGTGGTGGTTCCCCTTTATGACACGCTCGGCCAAGATGCTATAAGGTTCATCATAAACACAGGTAAGAACACAAACATGACAAAGACTATAATGACTTCACAAGCTTTGAGTAGGAAATGTAAATTTAACAGCTGTCAGTCTGCAGGCTAATAATTATGGGGCATTGTGAGACATATTAGAACATGTGTGTGTGGATCTTTTAAACAGGAACTCGTATCAGTGTGAGTGGTAGAGCTCCCCTCACTGGTCGCTGACTGCATCTTTGTCACATTCGTACACAGTGCTACTTCCTGGATTTAAGCGAATGTGTCATTAAAACATTTGGTAATTGTAACAATAAGTAATTCTGTTGCAAAGGAACAGATGATAGGAATTTCATGTGGTGTAAAAGCTAGTGCATGGAAAAGAAAAGAATATATTGGAACAGTAAAATCATCATAACTTTTAAAATAACATGTGTATTCAAGATTTTACAGCGACCCAAATGATAGCTCTAAAATCGATTAACGGGATTATTTTTTACTTTAAACCCTTGTAAATTCAAGATGTGACCAAATTCCAACTGATTTCCAACTCCACATTTGTTTGTGTTCCTTTTTATTTCTTACTTTGATGATGTTCACACAAGGGAGCGTGTGCTCTTGTGTGCTTGTTTCATTTCAGCTGACATCTCCACAGTCATCTGTGACAAAATGGACAAAGCTCGGGTGCTTTTAGAGAATGTGGAGCGGAAGGAGACTCCCGGCCTGCGAAGAGTCATCCTGATGGACGCCTTTGACTCTGACCTCGTGGAGCAAGGCAAGGGCTGCGGCGTCCATGTGCAGGCCATTAAAGAAGTGGAGGTAAGACATGTAGGACTCTGGTATGCCTGTGACACGGCACACCATATGTATGTCAAGTATTTAGGCTGAGGAGTGCTAATCTATTATATATATATATATATATATATATATAGTCTTGGTGTCATTAGCTCGTAATAAAACGACATGTTAAACAGATCCTGTACAGCAAAGAGGATTTTAACATATATGCTGTATTCCTTGCTTTGTCAAAGTGATAAATCATGCAATATATGCAGTACGTGAGCTGCAGAAGGTTAGCGCAGTCTCTGAAAATGTAATCTCTTTCTCAGTCTCATGTAGAGCACGCATAACTTTGTTTTGTGTTGTCCTCATCCAGCAGATCTGGTTTGCTAGATGCGTGACAAGAAATGAAAAGGGTGAATGAGTTTGCTGATGATATCAATCACAAACTCAGCAACAAAGCATATAGAAATGCATAAGTGTTGACAGCTATCACCTATAGTTTTAAATGACCTGATACCAGTATGACCCACATTGATTATTACTTCCTTCTTCTCAGCCATGCACAGCTGCAAATGCTTGGGGCTTATAGCCTAATTGTGGTAACCGCTGCAGGCTCTTTTACAGTGTAGCAACCTGGATTTAGAAAAATCCTCAACACAACTCAGAAGACATTAGTCCATATTATAGGAATCACAATAAAGCTATAATGTTTAAGAGCATTATACAGTGATTTAAAGTTGCTTTCACATTGTTTCTTTACAGGCCCTGGGTCGAGATCACTACAGAAAGCCTATAGTAAGTACAATTATTTCAAAACTTCTAAAATGGTTTCAAAACAACTGGTTTTAGGCATGCTAGTAAAGTTTGTTAGTGGACCAAATGGGTCAAATTCTGAGTTTAGTTTGGTAAAGCTTGTGTCTGTGAAGGTTCTCAGTCATCCAGGTCATCGTTGTCTAAGGGGCTTGGAAAGAAAAGCACCTTCTGTAAAAACCTCTGTAAGTTGCTTGAAGACGTTTCACAGCTCATCCGAGAAGCTTCTTCAGTTCTAAGGTCAAATGGTGGAGAGTCCCAGATTTAAGCCCAATGAGAGTGTCCCCCCCGCTGTGTTTAAAGGTGGTTGTTCACAGTGGACATAGATGGCTTCTTTCACTCCTCTTTGAAACCATCTATCTTCTCTGTCCAAAATGTGAACATTGGTGTCCTCAAAGGCGTGACCTTTGTCCTTTATATGCAGGACAAAGGTCACGTTGAGGTGGATCTTCTATGTTGTGCCTATAAAGCCACCTCGACGAGACAAGATCCATCTGCATCTAAAGGACATC